CTTATTTACAGAAATAATGAAAATGCAGTCCATTTGCCAAACTCTTCAATTCCATAATTGCACACAGATCCACACAAATTTCAAAGGAGAATGGAAACATGGTGTAAATTAGGGAACAAATACATTTGCAGTAATGTAGGACTGATACAATTGCATCTTTCTATTCTATCAACACTTGGAAAACTCAATTATTGACCAAAGATTTATGCAAGCTATTAATAGAAATTATTCAAGCTAATTGGATGAAATACATGAATTTAAAATCAAAATCATGTTACAACTAGAAATAATAGCATTTATTGGTCTACAGATTCATCTGAATTACAACTCCTATCCATCATGGCTTTTGGGACTATAAAGCTACGTAATGCCATTTGGGGAAAATTGTACATAAATAAAATAGCATTTAATACTCAACAATAGATAACACATTTTGTATTTAACAAAATAGAAACCCTTGGGTGGTACAAAATGGTAAATGTCTGCTAAACTGTCATGTGTTTTTCTGCAAAAATCCACAACAAAATCGTAAATTGATGCTAATTTTATAACATAAACGGAGAGTATAATAACCCACATATTCCTTAAAAATTTCCAGAAAAAAAACTACTTTAAACTTTTATAATTTTATTCTGCAATACAAGTAGTCCTCAACATACAACTATTCATTTAGTGATTATTCAAAGTTACAATGGCATTGAAAAAAGGTGACTTAGGAGCATTTTTCATACTTATTCTCTTTGCAGAATCCCCATGGTCACATGATCAAAATTTGGATACTGGCAGTGGTTCATATTTATGATGGTTGCAGTGTCCCTGGATCATGTGATCACCTTTTGTGATCTTTGGACAAGTAAAGTCAATAATGGAGAAGCCAGATTCATTTAACAATCAGGTTACTAACTTAACTGCAGTGATTCTCTTAACAACTGTGGCAAGAAAGGTCGTAAAACAGAGCAAAACAGAGCTTAGCAACATAAATTTTGAGCTCAATTTTCATTGTAAGTTGAGGATCACCTGTAAAACTGGTAAATCCACCAGGCATGAAAGGACTTACTAAGGAAATATGAATATCATACATTAAATAATTGGTATTTTAAATGAATAGTCACATAAAACTACTGATGATCAGAATCTATAAGAGAACAGAAAACAAGGATGAGGAAAAAAGCTAGTCTTTTATAATATAAAAGGACTTAATTTTCTTCATTTCTAATTACTTATTAGCTCTATAATTTACACTAGATGTCATTGGCATGAAGTTCTGATTACAATCTGATTTTATTAATAAAATATTATTTAACATAGTACAAAATTATATTTTATATTGCTCACTTGATATGGAAGTTATTAACCTTGCTGGTGATAACATTACTTAACAATTGAGGTTTTTTTTCCTATTAATTTTATAGTTCTTTCCTTAAGAGAGAAGAAACTAAATCAATCTACACCCTGTTTCTCCTCATTTAAAACTGGAAAGGAAAAAGTACCAAGCTCCGTCAGAAGAATAATTTTATCATGAATGTACACATTTCTAAATATATGGCGATTGTTCATATTTCCTGTATTCAATTAATATTATGCATTCTTAATTTGAATTAACCAAAATCATGGTCCTTATTATTTTTTGCCCTAAAGATACCTAAGGGAGATTTAGTCAACAATCTTCCTTACATCTTTTGCCACATTGGCTAGTAAGATCAACCCTAAGGGATGACAGAGAACAGTGTGGCTTTCTATTTGTTCTTCTATGTGAAATCTATTCATATTTCAGAGTATTAGAAAGTGTCTTTCACATCCTGAAATGTAAACTTGTACAATGAAAAAGCTTGTATCTCCCATGATGAGGTACATTGAGGTACATTGAGGTACACTTCCAGAAGAATCTCTCATGATGGGTATGTCACAGAAAAAAAAAAAGATCAGATTAAATGAATTCAATCCATTGGAAATGGAAATAGCAACCAACTATAGTAGAAAATTAGACAATTGCAAACAGGAGAAATCAGCATAATACTAGAAGGCTAAGTTTTTACACTGGAAAAGTCCAATGGCCTATTGGAAAAGAAGAAGTAGCACTAGTCCTTATTATGTGGCCTTTTTAAAGCCAAAAGGAAGCCCAGCTGTTGTGGACAGAGCAAAAAGAAGGTACAATGCTGAATATCTATTAATCCTACTGTTACAGGGAATGTCAAAACCAGAAACCAAGACAAACTTAACAATGTTAGAATAGACATGTCAAGACTCAATGTTGACATTCTGTGAATCAGTGAACTGAAATGAACTGAAACTTCATTTCATATCAAAGAAACATCAGATCTTCTATTGTACACTAGAAAAGCACAGAAGAAATGGAATCACCATAATTATTAACAAACATGGTGTCAAAGTCAGTGTATCGATATATCCGCCAAATGAAAGACTGTTTTCTGTTTGATTCTAAGTCAAGCCAATCAATAATATGGTAATTCAAGTTATACTGTAAAAATAGAGGCAGAGGAAGCTACAGCTGAACAATTTGATGGTGATTTGTAACAGCTTGTACACACTTTTAAAATTGTCATATTAATTATAGGAAAATAGAATATTAAATTTGGAAGCAAAACAGGATCTAGAATAATGGAGAAATTTGATCTTGGTGTATAAAATGAAGTGGAAGAGAGGCTAATAGCATTCTGCCAAGAAAATTTAAATACCTTGTTGAATATCTTCTTCAAACAAATTTAAAGATAAATTTCCTTATGGATACTGCTGGATAGAAAAAATCAAAATTGACTACACATTGTGTAAACAAAGAAAAACAAATGCCATTCAGCCAACAAAAACAAGATCAAATGTGGCAGAGATCAAAAGCAATTTACAAAATTATCATTTAAACAAAATAATAAAGCAAAATAATCAAACCAACAACTTACAGTATCAACAATATTTCATATTATTTTGAAATGATTTAATGGATTATATATGATAGGATATCTGAAGAATTCTAAAGAGAAATTTATGAAATCATTAAAGAAGAATCAAACAAAAAATTCTGGAAATGATAAAAGAAAAATTAAAAAATATGAATGGCTCTCTGTTGATACATTGAAAATAGCTGAAAAAAATACAGAATGTTGAAGGCAACAAAAAAATTGAAAACTAAACATGGGATCAAGAAAAATGGAAGAAAAAGTTCTAGTTACATAAGCAATGTACAAAAATGAGGATAATAAACAAAAAGAAAAGACAGGGTACTTAAGTAAAATGTAAAAATCAAGAACATTTTGTGCAAAAATGGAAACTGTACAAATATGTAGAACTGTATCATCAACATCGCCCTGCCCAAGAAAACAAAGGAAGAAATTGCTACATATGAAGGTTTGATCATTAAACTATAGACAGGCATAATAGAAAATGAAAATAGGCTTTAGAACATATTGCTAACAACAAAGCTGCATGAGCTGATTAAATACCAGATGTATTCTTTAAAAGCTTGCAAGATAATGCAGTTAAAATGCTATAAGCAGTGCCAAGGAACTGGAAAAGATTAGTTTATAATCCTGTAACATAAATTGCAGTGCTAAAGTATGTTCAAACTACCAAATAATTGCACTTATCTCATATAAAACAGTACTTGGAATTAGAATTGGCAGACACACAAGCTGAACTCAGAAAAGGCAGAAGTAAATACCGCATTGGTAATACCAATGGATAATGGAAAAGGCAATGGAATTTCAGAAGGATGTCTATTATATTATATTATATTATATTATATTATATTATATTATATTATATTATATTATATTATATTATATTATATTATATTATATTATATTATATTATAGCTATTCTTCAACTGTGTAGATTATAACAAACTTCACTTACCCTAAAACACGGGGTGTTGTGATCAATTGAAACATAAGAAGAAGCAATGAAATGCTTTGGAATTAGAAAATGAAACTGTCCAAATGTATATATTCAACTCATATAACTACTATTGCGCAACAGGCAATGCCAACCCAATGCAAATAGGTGGACAAGAACAGAAAATAGATTTTATGTTCCTAAATTCAAAAATTCTTGATGATGTGGCTATGGAACATTTGCTATTTAGGAGAAAATACATCATAGATCAAGCCTTTCTTCCAAGTCTAAGGCTTTACACCAACTGGGGGTGCACGACAATATTCCAGGAGATGCAAAAACTTGGGTTGAGAAGTTTCAAAATTATAGTGTATCTGCATAATTCATTGCTGTTATTTCAAACTTTTGTAAGGGCTGCAAGAATATATCAGAAGTGTTCTGGGGTGCGGGGTATAGAAAAGGTTGGGAGCTGCTGCTTTACACTGATAATGAAGCTAAAGCAAAGATTGAAGATCTTAATGCTTGGGGAAAAAATAAAACTAAAAATAGTCAATTAGAGTAATAATCTCACTGATGAAATATGAAATAACATAGATGAAATATGAAATAACAATTTAAAGATGCAATTATTGACAGACATTCCTGAAGAAATAGTGATCAAGTGACTTGAACAGCAAAGGCAAGTTTCGTTCCATGGTCAATTTTTTCTCTTACAAATACTAAATGTTATCTTTTGATCAGCCTTCCTAAAACTTAGTTTACAGTATATTAACCATCCTTGTTACTATTCTTCCAATCTGTTCAAATTTATCATGATCTTCCTTAAAGTCAGAACTTGGCACATATTTGAGGTGACAAGACAGTAATGAAGTATAAAATTGCATAATTTAGAAACCATGCTTATATTGATGGAGACTGAAATTAGATTTGATTTTTTTGCAGCAACATCATTGCTGATTCACATCCTACTGATAATCAGCTATAATGCTAAGATCACTATCTTCCATATAGCTACCATTATATTTGCTTGAAAATGAAAAGAAGGGTGATTCAAAGGTTGAGTAAAAGAAGATGTTAGGCACAGGGATGAGGGACACTGCAAGTTGTATAATACTTCTTTGATAAGATAGCAAAATAACAATTTCAGTACTCACCTGCTTGATTGGTTGTAATGCTGACTGCAGCAAATTGTCTTGGCAAGGTACTTAAATCAGAGACTCCATTAACAGCGTCTATCTCAAAAGTGTAATTTGTATGAGCCAAGAGATCCACTACAGTCACAGTGGTATTGGTGAGTCCCATCTGACGCGGAAGAAATCTTACAATATTGCTACATGGTTCACAGAGCTTGCTGGTTCCTCCACATTTCTTGCATACAATGTTGAAAGTGACATCCTTTCTGCCCCCTGTGTCCAAAGGCCAGCTCCAATCTAGGATGACTGAGGTCTCATTAATATTAGAAATAACATTTTTGGGAGCAGAAGGCGGTCCTATGTGGAAAGAGAATGAAAATAAAATAAGTATTATTTATCCTGTTTGAATTCTGCTCAAGAAATAAAGTCATTCGAGTATGCATTTAATAACTATCACTGTCATATGGTTTTATGGTCTATCTTATATCCTTTAAGCAGATGTGGAAAACTATAGCCCCTTTATGACTTGTGGACTTCAACTTCCAGAATTCCTGAGCCAGCATGGCTGGCTCAGGAATTCTGGGAGTTGAAGTCCACAAGTTATAAAAAGGCCATTGTTCTTCACCCCTGTCCTAAAGGAACATTATATATTATATATTCTCTTACATACTTTAAGAGATATCAACCAATTTTGTAACACATGTGTATTTTAATATCTAGCTCCCCAAATTAACTAATATTCAGGCAATTACTATGAATAAATACAGCAGCACTGAAAGGTAATAAAAACATTACATATAGCCATATAAGGCACTTTATTACAAGACATTAACCAAACCAACAAAAGTATGCATTGCCTTAATGCTGTGCTTTCAGTATCCAGCTGATGCAATGTGCCATAGCAACTGAGGCATCAGAGGCCACATCTTCAGCCCTATGAAGTATTGAAGTCAGGATGAGGCTCAATCCTGTTTTACTAGCTGCCATTAGGGGGCAAGTGACTACCAAACAAGTTGTTTGTGTGCTTGTAGACCATGGGAAGGACCAATAAATCGCATATGGCATCACTGCTTCAATTCAGTAATAAAAAGTTTGCTTTTTTCACTGATCTGATTCAATGGTGGAATCTGTCAAACTATGTGAGTCCTATTATCCATCAAAGCTTTGTACAGTCTTAATAAAAAGCAGACCTTAAGTCTAGGTGCTTGATTTTTTAATACACAGCCCTAGGCTGTCTTTCACAAAGGACAACTGTAGCCTGAATTTCCACAATGAGTGAATGAGAATTGTCACACCAAAAGTAGGAATAATTAATCATTTATATGATGGGAAGTAATTCTAATATAACTTATTGTACTAAAATTAATATTATAATACTATTATGAATAATAATGATGATGCAATAAAAATAGTAATGATAATAGTGGTGGTGGACCATACAAATACAGTATATTGAAATCTACAGTGTTATAATAAAATTGTGCCTTTTTCAATTTTTTTAAACTATAAAAACTAAGTAGAAATACAGACTAAAGGCATGTCCATATTATTGTTTTATATCACAGAGAAATTGTCTCTGGACCTAACTGATCCTACACTACTGTTTTAGGCTCTGGATTTACTGCTTCTAATCATGCTTCTGTTTATTGGAAATTGGCACAAGTCTGGTACCTTACTTTTTATTTTTTTAGTTGAATGCCTGCTTGGAGATCTGTTTTCTAATTTGTAAGAACTTTTGCTTCATCCTACCTCCTGGTTCCAGAGTTTAAAGCTGTAGTTTCTCTACCTCCCTCTCTCTTTCTTCATTATACTGTAGAATGCAAAGTTTGTTTTCTGGAGTTTGCATTTTTGTATTTAAAAATTATTCTTCACCTCTTTTCCCAAACCAGCAACCATAACATTGTCTAATCATGATTAGTATGAAAACACTAATGACATAGAAATACTCTAAAATGCATGCCTAGATGACCAACAACATGAAAGGACAGATTTCAGTTTCATCATAATGAGGTTACTCACTTGTGCAAGCCATTGATGGAACATCTCCTTCAGATCGAAAATAGTTCTTCTCACACTTGCAGTTTGTAGAACCTTCCACATTTGTTGAACTATGAGGTGGGCATTTAGCGCATTTAACATTACCAGCAAAGGCTTTATAAAAACCTGGTCGGCAAGCTGTAAAAGAACAGTAATTGCTTACAATTTTTCATATTAAAGTTTTGTTATTCTTTGCCAGAGAGGGAAAAGATATTCCATCTGAAAACTAAAAGTCAATATTGAAATGGCATGCATGAAAAAATGATAGTTTACCTTGGTCTTAGTACAGCAAAGTATATTCACTAACTATAGGCAAAGTATATTAATTCTAAACTATATTCTGTAGAATTGCCAAAAATCAGGACCTAAATTTAAGCCTTCCTTTATTCCTTTCTCTTTTTTTCTTAATCAATGTTAGAGTTTCATTTCCGTTGCACACATTTTGCATGCAAAAGAAATCATGGTCTTATCTTGGACATTTTCAATCTCATCTGCCATTTTCTAAGAGGGCTGTGAATTATTGTCAAAACCAATATAGCCAATGTAGCTACAATATTTACTTAGAAGAACCAATAGTCTAACTTTTCATAAAACAGGTATTTATGTCAGAAATATAATGGGTCTAAAATATGCAAATTAAAACTGTGTCTTGCTCAGTAGGCTGTCCAGACTAAGAAATGGCAGATTATCTAGGAGAGTGGTCCCCAAATATTTGGGCATGAGGGACTGGTTCTCTGGAGAGAGGTTTTCCCATGGACCAGAGGGGACATGGTTTCATGTGCTGCCTGCATCTTGTGGATTGGGCTTTGCTTGTTTGCCCGGACAGGTTTCTAGCATGCCACAGATTGGTGCCGGTCCACGGACTGAGGGTTGGGGACCCCTGATCTAAGAGACCTCTATCAGGTCTCTGCATCCATGAAGTGCCAACCCATTAAAGTGGCTTGGTCAAGAAACAGATATGGCAGGAGTTACTTTCAAGAATACATCTTATTACTTATTCAGCAATATCACCTTATTTTTCTAGGATATAATAACATGAAACTACAGTTTCTTTTCCAACTGCACTATTGTTTTGTGGTTTTCTTTCATTTTGAGACAGAGACATATAAAATCTCATAGCTTTAAAAGAAACAGAAAAGCCTCATATATTCTCAGCCTCACTTAGCATATCTGCATATCTATCACTATCATTATTTTGATCCTTGTTCTATTTATAAATAATTAAAGTTAATATGTCACTAAACATTATCTCAGCTATTTTATTTTATAGGGAAAATTATGACTTCCAAATAACATATGGATTATATTTGTAATGCTGTCCCAGAAACCTAAAAACACAAATGTTTCCTAGCTTGCAATCTTTCAAACTTACTAAGTACAGCTAGTCAACCATTTGAATAAAGCAGAATAGCTTGTTGCTGGTCAGCATCCAAATTAAATAAATAAAGCAAACAAACACATACAGTATCGACATACATAGGGATTTAAACTGAAAAATAACATTTTCATTTGTTGAATATTGACATTTGGGAACACTCACTCATCCTCCATTTCTATGCTGGGAGAAACAAAAGCCAAATGAGAAAAAGATATATGGGCAGAAAAAGATATAATTTTTAACTAGGGAATAAGATACTTATAATAATTGTACCATTACTAAAGAATGTGTCCAACTGAAGGGAAAAAATAAATTCTATATTTTCAGAATTGCTTTGATTTTTATGTTCTGTAGTGGTCCTCGATCATGAATTCAACTCTCTAGCAAAATTTAAAGTTTGCAGATGATCCAGCTTACTTTAGTTTGATCTTAGTATATGTAAGCAAGCCATAGTAACCATAACAAAATGTGAATAATGAAATGTTCATATAATTCTGAAAATAAGCAAAAGCACAATGAGCTTTTTCTGGTCAAAATTAAATTATCTCTCAGAATATGATTCTTGTACTTACAGATACAACTGCGGATAGTGTCTTAGCTTGTATAATCTGTTAGTGACAAACTCCAGAATGTGGTGTTTCATTAACATTGGCATGTTCCTTTAGTCTTTCTCATTGCCCAGACTGAGTCAAAACCATCTCACATCATGTTGATACAATGTGAAAAGTGAGAATGACATAATCTGCAAGTGACTGCATGCCACTACACTTCATTAGAATACAGTATTTATAATGGGTAAATCCTGGGGATGGGCATACAGCCACAGTGGCTGGATGTCTGCCATTACCTCTTCTCAAATGACCATAAACACTTTTTGTTTATTAACTGAATTACATATCCTGAGATAACAATTAATTTTATGGCTTTAATTTCAGTGTGCCTCTTATACTAATTCTTCAACATAAAAAAAAAAAGATTTTTCCCATCAAAACTGTTTTTCTGATCTATATATTTAAACATACACAGAAATATATATACACATACCCTCCCTTTAGTATCTGATTAGTCTAGAGACTAAAAATATTAAAATATTAATATTTCCAGAAAGAAGGATCTCCCACTTTAATGCTAATCTTAAGTACTACAGGCTTAAACCTTCATTATCCCAAAGCTTTCTCCACCATTAGCAGAAGTAACTCATGATCTTTTTATCTCTACCTACTCAGATTGTAACTCCCACCATCTTCAGGTTTAGCCCGATTTGTGAATTTAGTGGGCACAAAATTCTTTTTATCCTCCTTTTTATTTTATTAGCCTTAAATGTTAGCATTTTAAGTAAGATGGTCTTTATTTGGTTTATACTAGTCTGTGTTAATATTTCCACAGAATTGAGATTGCTTTCCCCTCAAACATGAGGAGAATTTGTATTGTATAATCTTACAAGCTCCTGAGAACTATTCTGAAGATTGAAAGGGTCATAATAATAATTGTATATTTATGAATGCCCACCTAAAAAAATTCTGGGCAGAAACAGAATGCAAGAACCAGGAAGCCAAGAGATTGTGCTTAATGAAGACAAGAGCAATACATAATAAGAAACATCACTACAAAGCCAGATTAGTCTGTTCATTGTCTCTAGAGGCAAAAACTTTGCAATCTCTTTGTGTTTTCTGCATAGCTAAGTTACAGTGCTATAAAGATAGCAATTATGAAGCAAATGAGCTAGTTAGAAACCTGCTGTCCCAGTAAGCCTTAGTGGAAGAATCTGATTTGTATCTCTTCCTCCCATCCTGTCTGTCTTACAAGTCTTCTGTCTTTGTATATCAAGTTAAAATAAGATCATTTGGTGCTACAATTCTCAGGAGGGGGAAAAAAAAGCCATTAATTACATTGTAAATTAAATCCTGGAAAGTGAATGGCGTGAAAAGGTGATTCTCTTTTCTGAACATCATGAAGAATGAGGGAAGGAAGGATGTGAAACATATTTCTTCTCAAGGGATAATGGATAATGCTTACAGACCCATATTATCTTTCTGCATATAAAGTATATTTTAAGTTCAGTTTTGAAAGAAAAAGACTAAGATGTATGTATATTCATTTTTATTTTTTTTTAAAAAGAACTATGAAATATAGTTTTCATTTGTTTCTATAGATAGTCCTTGAGTTATGACTCAACTGTTTGAAAATATGACAGTGTTGAACCAAGGAACATATGATTTGTCTTCAAAGCTACAACTGTTGAAATGCTTCATGGTCACATGAACAAAATTCAGGTACCTAATAACCAACTCATATTTACAACTAGTTGCAGCAACCTGTGGTCATGTGATTGCCACTTGTACTCTTCTCTGCCAACTTCCCCCAAGCAAAGTCAAAGGAAATCATCAAGGAAGGTCACAAGTTGGTAGGGTATGTTCTTCCATCCTAGTTTTTCTTCATTCACATGCATTGTGCCCTCCTTTACCCCTTTATGCACAACCTTCCACATCTTATTTTCCTAGCCTCCCTGTGCTTGCATACACAAATGCATGCTTCCTACTCCTTCTTTCCTCAGTCTCAGCCTCCCTTCAATCAGAGACACAATGCATGTCCTCCCTTTTACCATGGCTTCCCTCAATCACATGTATCCCACATCCTCTTTTCCTCACCTCCCTGTGATCATGTGCAGCTGCACACCTATTACCTATTTTTGAGCTCACGCCACACAAAGTTCCATCTTTCCTGTGCAGCCTGTGCCAAGCCTCCTAGAGTCTCTCCCAATGGAACCCACATGCCCCTTAGTTAGGACTCAGCTTTCCACTTAATGAACCACACATCTTGGGTTACTGGAACAATTGGGACTGCCATTACTAATTTATGCAATCATGGGAGATCACATTAGAAACAGCAAAGTTATGTGTCAAATGCAGTTGTCATTAGTAGATTACCTGTAGATATAAATTCTTAAGACAAATTAGGCGACTAAGCAGCAGAATTATAAAATGTGTTATACCTATTGCTAAACTTCTAACATTCCTAAAATGTTTTCACATATCTTTTATCCTGGATTGCAGCTTTGTTTCTCTATCCTTTATAGAATCTTAGTAAGTACCTAATTGTCCATCTTATAATATTTTGTCAGAATCAAGGAATATACAAACATATTACAGTTGTGTGCAAAATATTAAATGTATCATCATCTAATTGAGATAAGAACACTGACATACTTTGACTTCCTGGCAATAATTTGTCTTGTTTTCTATTTAATATAGTTACAATTCCAATTACTGTAGCTGCTGCTTTCCTCTCCCCCCCTCCTTAAGTATATATAATAAAGAAACAATAGAAGGAAATATAGGATCATTTTGACCATGATATCTATTGCTTACTAAGTTAATATCTGAAAACATTCAATCCCTGCACATTGAATTGCTGTAAACATTGCTGTAAATTTTGTATTTCTACTCAGAACTTTAAGAATGGAGTTCCTGTTAGATCATACCACATGCTTCATTTGATATATAAACAGCTATGTTGACCTTGCACAAATAAGTTAATGCAGTATAGTTAATTCAAGAAGTTATTTTATTTATCTCGCACTGTTTCATATTGGTTAGTGTATAAAGCACTAAAAACTAAAAGGCTACTATTTATGAAAGGTGCATTTCAGAAGTATGATAGATATTAGGATACATTAAAGAAAGTTATGAAATGGATTTATTTGTATAAAACCCTTCAGAAATATACCACATTTTATAATTTTGGAATACAAATAATATGT